ACTTGTCGGACGAATCAGCCTCTTGTACCTCAAACTACACTAGTGGAACTTTTCAACTGGGCGTGGCCCTGTGATTTTTTTTCCTTTTTCGGGTTTTTCACGTAAAAAACCTGGTATTCTTTTATTTCCTGTTTGTGTGTGCTAAATATTCGTAAAACGCACAGACGAAAATTTTCTAACTCTACTACCGCGTACATTCTAGCCCGCAACAATAATAATTAAAAGTAATATAAAATTCATTAATATTTATCATTTAAGCTAATTTTAAAAATTTTAGGCTTTATTTAGAACAACTTTATTACTGCTTTTTCAAGTAGTTTTTAAATTAAAATTTTTTTACTTAAAATCTTCTTTAAAAAAAAAATTATCCTAAACTAAATCTTAAATGAAACTCAAAAGGCTCAAGATTTGAGAGAGATTCGAGAGCTCTAATCAAATTTCAATAGTTTAGTTCGAAATTCATATATTTTTAATGAAAATTCTACAATAATTTTCTGATTAAGATCTCATTAAGTTTCATATTGCAGCTTAAACCTTAATTAGACAATCATTCTTATTTTCTAAAAAAAAGTTTTACAAGAGCCTTGACTTGCATGCATATTATATGAATTTTGTTCTATGAATTAGAATGAATTAAATGGTCAACTCCAAAGAAATAAAAAATATAATCTTTATTTTAATTTTTTGTAATTGTCTAAATAAAACATGTAAATAAATATTTGTCATAAATATAGGAATATTATTTGTAAAACTTATCAATTATATTTTTAAATTTTTAAATATCATTATTTTTTTAATACATCAAAGATTTTGTCTGGGACAGCTTTCTTACTGTTTTTTAAAGCAACTTTTTAATACAAAAAAATTTTCGATGAAAATTTTTATATTATAAAAATGCTTCAGAAAACAATGAGAAAGCTGCCTCAAACAAGCTTAAAAGTTATAAAAATAGCATTTTTCTTGACTAATTCTCTCTCTATATATTATTTACTAGCTCAAAAGGAAATATATCAAGCTAAAAAATCAGGAATAATGGAGCTAACATGTCTTGATATTAAAAGAGGCAGTCAAGGAAGCCAGAAGACTTGCAGTCTGCTATAAAACTGGCAAAGCGTGACAAATCCCAAGAACAAAAAAATAAAAATACAGGCATTACCTCTTCAAATGGAACACATCCACAAGTCATCCTCATGGACGCCAATACCAGCTTGCAAATTGCCATTGCAGAGCATCGGGTGAGGTCTTTTCTTCAACGCCAGCTTCGAGCAAAATGGCGAAGCTCCGCCTGGGCTGCCGGTGGAAGTCAGGCAGCTATCAACTGAGCATTCTGTCATCTGTTGAAGTCTTCTCCATGGTCTATCTTCTGCGAAAGCTCCTGCGTTTTCAGACAGAGATGGAAGCTTGATGGGCTCATATGAGATGCCGCCATTGATATTCCTGTTTGGAAACTCTGTGAATTGTTGCTTGATTGCGTCAATGCCGATTTCTGTAAGATTTGGATCGACAAGAGCATTGCAGGCTCTGTCCAGAATCGATTGGAGGTATTTACCCTGTGCTTCAATCCTTAGTTGAAGACTCTTCTGGACCTGGATGAAGAGGAAGGGGTTGGATGAAGCTTCAAAGAAATAAGTTATAAAGATCAAATAGCGCATAGAAGGATAAGTTCTAGGAAGGATTGAATCCCTAATAGTATTTACCGATGGGAACATCAAAGAAAAAAATATTTAAAATAGGAATAAGTTGCAGTTTGAGTTATCAACTATTTGCATAATAGTCGCCAATTCATAGGTGGGAGTATAAGACTGAGGGGAAACTTATGCCTGAGAGGCATTAAATATTTTTGAATGCTACACAAGGGTGAGTCACCCACTCGGGTGGAGATTTATGGCCACGTGGCATTTAACAAAATGCCATTGGTGTGTCCAACTGAGTGGGCTAGGGCCTAGGGGTGCAAACGAAACGAGTCGAGCTTGAGTCAGGCGTAACTCGAGCTCGACTCGCGAGCCAAATCCCGAGCTCAAACTCGAGTCGTGCTAGTGAAAACAAGCTCAACGAGTGGCTTGCGAGGTCCGCGACTCCGCCGATCTGCCTTACGCGGTCCGCGACTCTCCAGTGGTTCGCACGCGTAGACGTCGCCCATGGTTCGCCCACAGTTCGCCCGTGGTTCTGTTTCATGTAGACCGTGTCGGTGAGATCACCATGTAAAAATGCGTTAGAGATATCAAGTTGATGAATATTCCAATTGTAATGAAGAGCAATAAGAATGAAGACACGTACCGTGGGTATTTTTGCGACAGGACTGAAGGTTTCTGTGTAGTCGATGCCATGTTCTTGATTGAATCCCTGAGCCACAAGTCGAGCTTTGTAGCGAGAGACCGTGCCGTCAGAATTTAATTTGATGCGAAAGGTCCATTTGCAACCTAGTACATTTTGTTGTGGTGAAGGCGGAACCAGCTCCCACGTTCCTTGTTCCTGTAAGGCCTGAAATTCCCTGGACATAGCCAGTCTCCAGTTTTCCGATTTAGCAGCCTGTGCATAAGTGGTTGGTTCGAGCGATTGAATGATGTGCGATAGATCAAAGAGTTTCTTTGGTTTACTGTGTCCGGTCTTAAGACGGGTCAGCATGTTGTGACCGGTTTGATGTGGCGGCTGTGCTGAGGACTGAGTGGAAGTAAGTTGTTCCGTGGAGGAAGGATTGGAGGCACGGGCCTGTAAGGGCTGCGAAGCGGAAGTAGTAGTAACAGATTGGTGTGGATGAGTGTAAGAAGAATGAGGAGAATGTGTGGGTTGAATAGAGTTGTTTAGGTGGCCAGGTAGCCCAGAGGTGGGTATAAGAAGCAGGGGTGGTATATTGGGTAGAGGCTTGTTCATAGCCTGAATATTTTGGCTAGTATTCTGAAACGGGAAAACAGCCTCGTTAAAGACTACGTGTCTAGAAACGTAAATTTTATTAGTTTTCATGTCTAGACAATGATATCCTTTTTGTTGAACAGCATACCCAATAAACACACACGGAGAGGACAAGGGAGAGAGTTTATTGTTAACGTAGGGTTTAAGCCAAGGATAGCAAAGACATCCGAAGACTTTGAGATGGTTGTAGATAGGTGGATGTTTGTAAAGCAATTCGTAAGGAGATTTGTTGAAAGTGTTTGGAGATGGTAACCTATTGATAATGTGGACGGCTGTGAGCAAAGTGTCGACCCAGAGATATTGAGGAAGGTGAGCTTGAATAAGGAGAGCCCGAGTAATTTCGGTGAGGTGACGGTGCTTGCGTTCGGCAACGCCGTTTTGGGGTGGGGTGTAGGGACAGGTAAATTGGTGTATGATACCTATGTGTTTGAGTAGAGCTTGAAATTGGTGTCCGGTGAATTCCCCTCCGCCGTCGGTTCTGAGAGTGTGGATGCGATGCGAGAACTGTCGTTCAATCATTTTAAAGAATTCAAAGAAACGGTGAACAGCTTCTGTTTTGCTAGTTAGAGGATAAATCCAAGTATACTTGGAGTAATCGTCAATAAAAGAAATGTAGTAGCAAAAACCTTTATTACTTTTAACAGAGAATGGCCCCCAAATATCAGAGTGGACAAGATGAAAAGGAACAGTACTTACATTTGTAGACAAAGTAAAGGGTAAGCGGTGGCATTTAGCCATTTTACAAATATCGCAAAGTTTAGAGGAGCCGGTTTTACAAATATCAGTGTGATGATTGGCCAAGCTGGATAGAGTCTGATCGGAGGGATGTCCAAGTCGCCGGTGCCAGAGATCCGGGATTGCTTGTAGGGAGATTAGCGCCAGTTTATGCTGTTGTAGTTTCTGGACGGGTGCAGCGTAAATGGGATAAAGGCCATTAATACATGGACCCCGGAGTAGTAGATGCTTGGTCCTCGGATCCTTAATTTCATAGCCGGATGAAGAGAAAGTAATGATGCAGTTGTTATCGGTGGTTAGTTGATAAACGGATAGTAGATTAAAAGACAAATTAGGAACAAGGTGAAGATTGGAAAGAATTATTTTACCTTGCGGTGTAGGAAGAATGCCGCGTCCGGTGTTGTGAATGGGAATTTGTTGTCCATTACCCAGCGTCACTTGGCTAGATCCGGTATATGGTTGAGATGATTGCAGTTGAGAGTGATCGGCGGTAAGATGCGACGAGGCACCACTGTCGAGGAACCATTCAGTTGGGGAATTATTGTTGTGAGAGCTGAGTAGAGCGGTGCTGGATGGTTCGGAATTGTATTGATCATCGTGTCGATACCAACATTTAATTGCAGAATGCCCAAATTTCCCGCAGATTTGGCATGTAACAGGATTTCTTGATGGCTGATTTCTGCGTCCAGAATTATTTTGAGTTTGTTGGTTTCTTGATTGAGACTGGTTGCGGCCGCGATTGCTATTTGATCGCCCACGACCACGAGTTCTTGATGCTGTGAGAGCTGTGGGATTGCTTGCGATTTGAAGGGAATGAAGATCACGAGTGATCTCATGAGCCAGGTTCAGCTCTTCGCTACAGAGTAGCGTGTACAAGTCATCCAGATTTAACGGCTGAAGATTTGTGCGTATAGCCGTTTTAAAAGCTTGATAGGTTGGAGGAAGACCGTCAAGCGTGTAATGGATAATGTCTTCGACGTAAACATCATCATAGCCCACAAGCATATTTTTGCACTCCATGCATATCCACGCATAATTTAGTTGTTCAAAAATAGGCTTCGTTTGCGACGGCTTTTTTATTGCTTCTTAAAGTGCTTTAAGAAGCAAGAAGAAAGCCGTCCCAAATGAAGCCATAGCTTCATATTCTGTGTTTCAAAATTCCACAGCCCTGAAAGTGCAGAGCTTCTACTCAGAATAATCAACAGGAGTACTTAAAATTATTAAAGGCAACATAAAAACTAGACTAAGAGAATCCATCAAGTTGGGAGAACTAAGTTTTGACCGAACCACCTAAACTATCTCGTGATCTTCAAAATAATAATTTTATCTACATATGGATTATGAACAACCATCCATTAATAATTAAAAATGCATTAACAATTTGCCTATTCTGTGATTGTCTGATACAAATGGAAGCAAACTAATTCCACTGCACACAAATAGACACAGTGGACATAGACGCAGAGGGAGAGAGAGAGAGAGAGAGAGAGAGAGACCATCATTAGAGTTTTCAAGTTCTTTTAATGATTGCTTCCCCATTCTGTATTTCTGCAAAAAAAGACATGCAAGATGATAGCAAGGCATTAGTTTCATGTAGTATGAAAGGGCTTTTCTATTGAATGACTCAATCTTATAATATGATGTAACAAACATCCAAAAAGGGATTATGAACTCTTCACCATCCATTCAGTGATCAAAATGGCATTTACATTATAAAGATTTTTATCGTATAAGCAAAGAGAGCAGCTATGACAATGTAAGCAAGTTCATGCAATTTAACAGACTCAAATAGGTTCATCTCTTTGATATGATTTCTTCAAATACTAGGAAAAAAGACTGTGCTTAGTCCAGGGACAACCTGAAGATGGCTCTTTAAATGATAAAGTGTGAGGCCTTTTATGTTCATCAACCTCATTATGGTCTTTGGTGTTGCTTCTGCCAAAAAAAAAAAAAAAACGATAGGTATTATATAGAAGAATAGAATATTAAAAGAAACACAAAATAGTCTTAGGCTTCGTTTGATACGGCTTTCTTACTGCTTTTTAAACCAACTTTTTAGTACAAAAATTTTAATTTTTATACTACAAAGCTGCTTTAAGAAGCAATAAAAAAGTCATTCCAAACGAAACCTTAATCGTTGGGCACTCGTTGTAAAAGGAGTTGAATACCAATCACTAGCATTTATAACACCGAATAGTGTGATAATATAAGTGATAACTGTCAAAATTAAATGAAATTATAAATGGAGGATAAAAATTAAAAACCAGTAAAATAATGATGTTAAAGATGCAATCCTATTATTCACTGAAAAAACAAACTGACAACAGGATCAACCGTCAATAGATCATAACAAAATTATGATTAATGTATACAACACAGGAACCATCTTCCAAGGAAGAAACCATTATGCATACAACCAAGAAAACCACGCTATAATGTTAATAGTTTAAGACAGTTTGAATAACTTTAATTTCAAAAGTCACAACACCTAGTCAAATGAAAACACCACAAGGGAACAAGTGCTAAAGCAAAAGCTGATTTCAGAATAAGAAATTTAGGCCTCATTTGGGACGGCTTTCTTAGTGCTTCTTAAAGTAGTTTTTAGTTCAAAAATTTTAATTTTTTACTAGAAAGCTGCTTTAAGAAGCAGTAAAAAAGTCGTCACAAACGAAACCTTAGATTCACGATGAACACACGCACAAATAAGCGATCTGAAGTTCACTAAACCCAGAAAAAATATGTCCTCCGAGGTGTATGCAATAGTGCACAGTCCGGTACAGTTGACCATCACATGGTACAAATGCCTAAGCAGGAATGGAGTTTTGATTGGTTTCTCCAAAAAAAAATTAAAGATCTTACTTCATGGATTATAGAAAAAGAAACAATTCAATAAAATCAAACAGTTAATGCAGGTTTATTTAGTATAATGTGAAGACTAGCCCATTGGCATATCATAGATGAAAAAAGGAACAATTAAATAGAAACTATTTAAAAACTTTAGGTTGGTGAGTCTCAATTTCAGACTATCTATTGGGGAAAAGCCAGTGCATGATAGCAATAACAGACATGCATGCGAAATAAAATATCTATATATAAAAAGACCATAAGAAGGTTTACATGGTTCAACAATGTTCTACAAATTTTCAATAGTCAAGAGATGCGTAAAATATACAAAATATTTAATCCTCCAATATTTTTCTCGCCAATCACACTAGCAAGTTCTCTCTAGAATTTCCTCTCTCCTAAATTTTAAGGAGTTTTGATTTGGGAAGATTTTATGAATGATTTTGAGGTAGAAATTGGCTCCAAATTATGTTCAGATTTGTCATGCAAATAAATATGAAAATTGTATATTTAATCATAAAAAAATGGAAATAAATCAGTAGAGAATAAGGAAAATAGGAAATCAATGAAACACAAATTGATCAATAAAAGCATCTCAAACAAAGTATGAAGTATGTTGACAATGAATGAGACGAGAAATATGTGTTGTCTAAAAATAAAACTACCAGTTTAATTAACTTACAGAAAAGAGAAGAATAGAGGTTTACATGGGGCTGAAAGCAAATTATTTATGTAGTTTATTTACATAATTGAACAAGTTTGAAAAGAAATTTTAAAAGCTCATCATATAAATGAACAAGCTCAAACACTCTTATTTGTTCATTTATGTTCACAAAACATATTCATTTGTTGATTAACAAGTAACTTGCTAACAAATCAATAAAATAGTCATTTAATGATGGCTTGATTGCTATTTTATTGACATAATTTATGTTCTTGTGTTAATTTTACAGACTTTAAACATTAAGTATATAATTAGAGGTATAAACGAGATAGTACTCAACTTGACTTGGTTCACTTTTGGCCATAGGTGTAATCGAACCAAGCTAGTTCATGAGCAAACACAAGCTCGACCCAATAAATGACTTGTAAGAAGAGCTCCACAAGCTAATGAGCTAAGTTTGAGTCAAACTCAACTTAAATGTTGACATTTGAGTCATATCATTTAAAAATATAAATATGAAATTACACTTAAAATTTTAAAAACTCACTAGTTAAATTAAAAGTTATAAAACTTTTAAGGTCAAATCTCATTCTCTCTAAAAAATTCTCATTCTTCTACTGGTTCCATCGGCACAAAACTCCACAGATTTACTTTCATCTTCTCTAAATCACAAGAAGGCAAGCCAACTCGTAGGCAACTTCAACTTGTTAAATTGAGCTCAAGCTTGAAGCTGGGCCACAGAACATGGATATAACTCTTTGACAACCCTAGAGTAAAATCAAATGTCACGGAACCAGTAGAAGTTGGGCACTCTACATCGGTAAATGCTCAACTGCACAGACTTCAAGCGCCCAAAAATTCCCACCCAACTTTCAAACCTTGCATCCTCTAGCCACATTTTAGATACAAAAGACAACACAAACAACCATGCAATCCTGAAAAACTATGGCCTGGTTTGGTAATCATTTTTTGTTGCTTTTCTCTGCAAAAATTTTAGTTTTCTTGCATATCAGAATGTTAAATAGTACAGGAAATATGGGAAAAGAGTATTATATTTCACATGGACCATTTTTTTAGCTTCACAGGAATCTGTTCATCAGCGCAACTTTATTTTACAAAGAACTGCATGGAGCACAGCAACAACAAACGCCCAATACATCTAATTCCACTAATCCCAAGAATAAAGCTATAAAACTAACTATTCTTCACCCTAAAATTTGAACTTGTTAACGCAACAGCAGACAAACCAAATCTAAGCAAGAGAAAAGATGCACGAGAAATAAGGGAGAAAGAAGGCTCACTTTCAGGCCCTCCGAGCTGAGCGACAGCATCGATGAACCGATCATGGAGCTCCGCCGTCCACCGGAGACGGGGCTTGGGGTCGGAGGTGAGGACCAGGGCCGCGTCGCCGGGGAGATTTGTGCCTTCAAGCGACCCTACGAACTCTCCTCCCTTGATGTACATTTTCCAAACTATCTAAAGCAATTGGAAGGCAAGCAGAGGTACCAACTACCAAATCAATGGAAAAGATTGGAGGCAAACAGAGCCGTGAAAGACCAGCGTGACTGCGTGATTATGACAGCGATCAATGATCACTAATAAAGATTAATGGCGATAGCTAGTAATGATGGGCAATGAAGGTAATGAGTGATGTATTTATATAATTTTAAATAAATTTATAATTTCTAATTTAAATTAGAACTTAATTTTATAAATAAATTTAAATTAATATATATTCTAATATAAAATTTTCCCTCTTGAAAATCTCTTCACTTTTGAACTCAAAATTACCCATTAGAACCATCAATTAAGAAAAAAAAAACTTATATTATACAAGGATCTAAACAGCCTCGAAATAATAAAAAAATATTTTTTAATTCAATATTAATTCAATTATCATATTTATATATTTTATCTACATAATAAACGTTTAAATCAACTATTAAAAAATATATTTTTTTAATCTGCTTGTTTTAATTTTCAGAAATATTAAAAAATAGTGAACCTCTTTATTATTTTGGACCTTTTTGAGTTATATATTTGCCTTTTGATCTCATAATATATAACCCCCAAAAAACACTTTCGCTTACACAGAGCACAAAATAATACAATTTCGATTCATTTGTACAATTTTTTTAATTCTAGAAAGGTAAGCTCACCAATACTCCAGACCGGTTAGGGGATCGGCAGCCTCAGGTATTTTAAAATGCGGGAAAAGGATCAGAGAACCGCCAAAGCAGGTACGCGTCAGGTGGAAACGGACAAGAACCGGGACGAAAAAACACCGACCGGTTCGAATTTTATCAAATACTATAGGCCGCAAAATATAAAATATAAACATAATAAAACTAAGAGCCCTTATCCTGTCTTAAAATGTAAATTTTAAATCTTACGAAATTAAAATATTTTCTAGCTTTTTTCTAATACTTCACATTGTAATATTGAATTAAAATAAACTAAAATAAAATTATTATAATTTTATTTAAATCAATAAATAGGAGTTTGTTTGGGATGGCTCCAACATTTTATAAAATTAGGTGTAAAATAATTGTGGAGAAAATAGGTTCACAATTATGATTAAAAAAAAAGTTTTCATCACATAAAAATATATAAAAAATAGTGAGAAAATAGTAATCAAACGAAATTGTGGTTCTTATATGAAATGTAAAGCATGCAGAAAGTTGTCCCAAATAGGATTATTCTGTGCGGAGACCGACGACAAAAATCGTCCTGATTTGTTGCGCTTTTGCTATCATTTTACTGCGCTTTTGCAAATACTTAGCAAAAGGGAAACAAATATGTATTCATAATTGCATATTTGCTGCTCTTTTGCTAAGTATTTGCAAAAGTGTAGCAAAATGGAAGCTAAAGCGCAGCAAATATCATACTAATTGAATATTTGCTGTGTTTTTGCAAATACTCAGCAAAGGACAGCAAAATAACATTCATAATTGCATATTTGGTGTCTTTTTATTAAATATTTGTAAAAGAGCATCAAAAGGTAAGCTTAATGTCAGCAAATTTGGACGGTTCTCATTATCCGGTCTCCGAACAAAATAATTTCTCCCCGAGCAGACCCTAAGTGGCCTTATCAGTCTCTCATAATTTGAGTAGCCATGTTACACTCGATTAAAGATCTATTTGATATGAATATACTTTTTTATAAAGATAATTATAAAGTTATTATGCGGAAAATAAATTTTTTAAAAGTTGTTATGAATGTTAACATTTTTTTTTTAAACAAAACCCTCACTGCCACTGGACGAATGGGCGATCGAGAGCGACGAGAAATAAAATATTAACTGAATAATCAATTTTAAATTAACAATAATTAAATGTCTGTCAACTACTAATCATTAAGATTAGTCAACTTAATACTTAGCTGAGTTGACATAATAGCTTATTTTTAAGCACAAAGAGGATTTGAGTTGTAAAGATAAGTTCAGAATAGGCGACAAAGCTTCAAATAATTAGATATTAAATAAACAAGAAGATGTACATAAAAATACTGTAATTTAATGCACATGATAAGATATTATAGAAATTCTTAACTAATTTTGAACTTCAGATAGGGCTGGCATGGAAAGCAAACATCAGCTATGCTGATCTATAATAGGGCATCTCCAACGGAGAACTCCATTTTTCACGCCAAAATACTGCAAAACGCAAAAATGGCGTGGTGCTGCTCCAATCGAACGTCATTTTTTTGCTTCTGTGCGAAGGTAACGATCCTTCTCCTTTGACGCGTTTTTCCGGTTGAGAGAGCAAAATAGCGTGGGTGAACACCCGCAAGCAAATGGTGGACGTTTTGGCGTTCGGCTGGAGCGACCGAACGACGCCAAATGCTCGTTTGGCGTTCGGTTGGAGATGGTCTTAGGCTTATGCTTCTTTTGAGATGACTTTCTTATTGTTTTTAAAACATAATTTTAGTATAAAAATTACAAAAATTCTGCTTTTAAAAAACAATAAAAAAGTCGTCCCAAATGAAACCTTCATCTAGATTTTTTTTTTATTATTTTGTAAAGTTAATTTTCAGTAAAAAAATCTCTTTAAAGCATGGAAAATAGTGGTCTAAAACCATCCTAAATGAAGCATTAGATTTCATTTGGGATGGCTTTCTTAATACTTCTTAAAGCGGTTTTTAGTACAAATTCTTTTATATTAAAAGCCACTTTAAGAAGTAGGAAAAAAATCGTGTCAAATGAAGTCTAGTCTTGCATGCCCTAATCTTTTGTGATTGTGATGAGTGTTTTTTATTGAATTGGATGGCTTGGTAGAACGCTATGCCTTGCCGGACAACCCATCTAATTGGTTTTCAAGTGGCTTTGTAATGTTTATTAATTGGGTAGGGTTGATCAGTTTGAGCTAGAGGGAAAATTATTACATCCGGTGAAAAAATCGGAAATTCGGACGTATACCGAGCAATACCGAGTGCTCAATACCGAGCTCCATGTGACGTGGCGCGTGGGCATTGGCCTCTGAACGTGTTCGGTGTCCGGATGTAATAATTACTAGAGCTAGAGAGATTGAGTAACATCATTTGTTATAAAAATAGAGAGAGAGAGAGAGAGAGAGAGAGAGAGAGAGAGAGAGTATTTTTAGTTTAAATAGTTGTTGCACTAAAGTGATAGGAATGATGTAATAATGGAGGAGAGATATGGAAGAGATGTAGAATTTTTAATTATTTTTATTAACTTGATGGTTAAATAATCGAATTACGATATATTTGAAGTATATTTTTTACTAATATTTTTTAAATGGGCTGACTTACCTAGCTAGTAGATGAGTCTGTTGGCTTTGAAAATTTGTGCTTGACTCTTCTTAGAGGGTTGGTTTTGAATTAAAATTTTAAAAAGAAAAATTAGATTGCAAATATAACACTACTAAGAGACGAGATTATAATATATTATTCTATTTTTTTCATAATTGATTGATCAATTTCTCTTAGCCTGAGCCTGAGGTGATATATTTTTCTTAAATGTTTTAAATAATGTAATGATTTTAGATTTTTATATTTTTATCGGGATTTGGACCCGAAATAATTTAATTTGATATTTGTGGGTATTTTTAGAATAAAGATTCCAATAAGTTGAGATTCTTTTTCAAGGGAAGGCTATCGTGAGTGGTGCAGGTCATCAACTATTGTTGTGAAGACAACGATTAACAAAGTTCGAAACAGGACGGTTCTCCCATTTGGTGTCCGCACCAAATAATCGCTCAGCAGCATGAGCTACTGCAATGATTTGGCATAGAGTTTGCTGAGCTACAGGAGAGGAAGATTGCTAGATATATGTTATGTGGTTCCACAAATTTCTACTTTGCAACCGCTTGTTCCATTATGCCCTCTCTAATGAGCGAGAGATTATTAGGTGCGGAGTGCGAACGGGGAGAACCGTCCGCACAAGCATTGGGTACCTAGCGGTACCCGCACTCGGTACCGCTGGGTATCACTAGGTACCCAATACTTGTGCGGACGGTGCGCACTCCGCACCTAATAATTTTTCCTAATGAGCACCCAATGTGTGACTTCTTTGTCATTTGTCATAAAAGATTTGCGGGAGTTTTGGTTGGAGTGTAGAACAGTGGGAAGCGAGGGAGAGAGAGAAGAAGAATAGAGCAAGTGGAGGAGAAAAATCGCGCGAGGTAGATTTTGACTAGGAAAGTAAAAAAAATGAGGAGAATGCACTGGAAGCTTCGTTTGAGACGACTTTTTTAATGCTTCGTAAAACCCATTTTTTATTAATTTTTTTTTATTTTTGTACTATAAAACAGCCGTCTCAAACGAAGACTAAGCCAAAGGCATGAGTTCCACATGCTTTTGATTATTATTATTATTTTTTTTAAGATGGTTGGACAAGACTTCATGCGATGTTGATAAACATGAACTTACATGGCATTGAATGCATGTATAAGTCGCAATATATGGGCAACAACTGATGCAAAGGTTTGATGTAAATTGCATTTTAATTTTTAATAAACTAAATCAATTCATAATAAGAATAATAAAATTTAAATAAATGTGCAAATAAAATTATTGTGTAATTTTTTATTCCTCTTGCATATTGAATTTAGTGATATTATCTCGCATGTGGGCTTTTTTTTTTGCTTCAAGGCCTTTGATATGCCAATTTATGTGTCTATCCGAGATATTTTTTGCATTCTTGGCTTGTTGACTCAACTTATTTCATAATAGAAGTGAGAGCTGAGTGATTTTGCGTAACATCCCATCCATCATCATAGGCAATTTTCATCACACATGATCAAATTAATCTTGGGGTCATTCCTTAAAGATTTCTATGCTCCAAACATATCATCACATTCATTTTATGAAGCAAGTGATGGTTGGGTATTTCTATTAAAGGTGAGATTTTAAACTAAACATGTGATATACTATATTCATTCTTTGTTGCGTTTGTCGTATCTGATCATGTTGGTTTATAAAGCAAACATTGCGGCCAACAGAATCAAGTCGTGGTTGGCCCAAACACAAGCCACGAGCCATTTATCAAGCAAAATATGAATAAGAACC